TAATTTGTCCCTAGAGGGAGGTGTTAGATTATCCTAAAACTATTTAATTAAATTATAATTATTAAATTTAATGAGATGGCACCTAATGCCTCCCTCTAGGGGCAAATTAATCAGTAATTAAAATTATAATCGCCAAAAAATAGCCAGATATTATTCATCAGTTGGTGTGGCTTTAGTAGTTACCAGATGTCATGCCCACTTTATGTGATTTTCAATTCACAAGGGTGGTATTTTGTTGCTTACATCTGTGACATCTGAGTTTCAATCAGGCTATGAGAAAACATTGATATTGAGAAGTTTGTAGCCAGACTTATGGACCATAGACCTAGTATTTTTAAAAGTAAAGAACCTACTACCAGGTGGATCAGACTAAAGTATCTTGTAAACTATTCAGTCAGCAAAGAGAATGGTAGTCTGTAACAACTCTAAATAGACATTTGTGTATTTTTATCCAAAATCCAAAATTTTTAATGACCTATACAATGCCAGAACACTTATTTTCCATCAAAAAATAGTTTGTTTCTCTTGTCATCAGAGTTTGACTGTGTGAAAAATTACATTCAAAAAAATACATTGTAGAAATACAAAGTATTACAGACAATACGAATACAAATTCTTGTCTTCTCCTTTGTCCTCTTTTAACATCACAGAAACATGATCCACACAGCGGAGTTGACCTTTCTTTTTAGGCTACTTTCCCCACCTACATTTATGTAAATCAGATAAAAAGTTCCTTGACTATGGATTCCATCGTAAAAATTTGTATTCATATTGTCTGTAATAATTTGTATTTCTATAATGTAATTTTTTGAAAATAATTATATTACGTCCTGGATTTTTAGATTTTTTTTCTTTACAATGTAAAAAATTACAGCTGGATTGCCTCGTTTGCCAATAGTACAACTTTTAGTCCATATGTGCTGGTATCTTTATGCAATTCAATGAGCATTTTATAATCATAATTCCTAACTATGGGTTCAGATAGTTTCTGAGCTAGAATTCTCAGAATTCTAGCTCAGAAACTAATTTTGACTAGCTCAGAATTCTCAGCAGAATTCTGAGCTAGTCAAAATTCTCTGCAATGTTTTGGTCCCCAATGGAAACCACCCACCATCATTAAGAAGACTGTCAAGAATTTGGCTAGAATTGTAAAATGTTTGACAACTTATTGGTAATGTAGTATAAACATAAATCTAAAAATCTCCAAATTTTTAAGAAACGAACAAAATAGAAACATCTATAATTATTCACATCTTATCCAAGTGTAGCTGTTCCTCATTTTATCAACAAAATGGTCTAGTATATGCAGATTCTGAATTCCAAAATGGCTTTTTTTCAGATTCATCTATAAGTGTGATACTAAAACCACAAAGAAGCATGTAAGATGTTCCTAGAAGTCAGTGAAAAGACAACAACATTGTCAAAGAAACAAAAGTTCAACTTCAATACCTGCACAACATTGTCCATCATTCAAAAAATAGAGCTTTACATAATCCAAATGGGAGAACTTTAAATTGAATAGTCCATCCACATTGACAAAGGCAGTCTTTTCTGTATCCTAACAAACTGTATTGGGTCTTCTGTGTACAATCTATAGCATCAGTTAACCTTAAAAGCAAATTAACATTTTTCTTCATGGTAAAATTGAGCTTCTAGTAATTAATGCAGAATCACTAGCTCTTGTCACATTTTTCTCCCAAAATCACTTGGGAAAACTAAGAACTATTGTATGGTTGAACACATGTCAACATTTAACATTAGTCATTCACTTTCTCTATTTATGACTCTTAGCTTTGTTAATAAAACTTATTAAAGTTTTCCATTGATCAGTAAGTATTCTTCTATTCAAATGCTTCCACATAATATTTTCTTAGAGCAGTGTTGGCAAACTTTTTTCTGAAGATAAGTTAAAAGTGAACTCAAAATTTAGTAACTTCAAATTGCAGGCCACATATTTTATTTGAATAATTAAAATTAAAAAGTAACAAACAATCCTTACAAAATTTACTTTCTGATATAAATTAAAAAGTTAAATAAAGTAATTAGTAGTGGCCAATATACTATTCATAACAGCTTTAGGTTCTTGCTTTTACACTACACATGCAAAGTTTTGAAATCTATCAAATATTTTTTGATTTATAAAACCTAATATTTTCTAAACATTCAATGTTTATAAAATATTAGGTTTTTATAACTTTATTAGGTACCTTGAAATCATCACATGGCTTATGCAATAACTTGCACGATAATTTCACAGGTTTGCCATCGCTATCTTAGAGTATCTGAAGCAAACAATATCTCAAACATTGGGAGTAATTCTAACAGGTTAGTTGACTGTTCAGGTATTAGATTTAGCATCAGTCACTGCTTAAGCATATGTTGATCATTGATTCATCTCTCTTTTGACATACAGGTATCCTTCCTTTAACATGGTAGTCATGTTCCAAAAAAGTGCTGTGTTATACAAATCCATGCTATATGAAACAAAAGACTAATGCAAAACATAGTTAGGTTCCAAAAGTAAGCAAAAGAATACTAGTCTTTTCCATCACTAAAAGAAATGTTTATGAAAGCAATCAATTTATTTCCAATCAATAATTAACTAACATTCACAATTAAAAGTACTGTATTATTTAATATTAATTTAATATAGTTAATATTAATTTTAGTTAAACAAGAGTGTTTTCACAAAGTATCATCATTTGCTGGGCATTTTTGTTGATCTTGGTCAGAAATATCACCAATGTCTTCATTTTTCTTATTTTTATCATAAAAAATTTTTATAGATGACAAAATAAAAATGTTATTAATCAAAAATTTGTTCTAGGGGGTCTCATTTGTTCAGTCAAGTACTGAGAAACTTTTCTCCAGAATTTGTTTGAATACCAAATGATTTGAGTTGGGAACAGTTCAAGTACTGAGATACTGCTGTATTTCATTTGTCATTTTTAATAGTGATTACTTACTTTTGTTTAGGAAAAAAGTTTAATAACACTTACCTAAGAATGTTTAAATAAACTTTACTACATACAAAGATTAATCTATAAAACCAAAACATGGTGACAGTCTTAAATGCTAATGTTTGAAAACATCATCAACAATACCAGATTGATAGGAAAGCTAGAACAAGAAAAAACTATACTGTCAGTTTTCATTAAAGTAAACTTGAAGAACAGCACAAAATAAATTGAAAATTTCAATATTGTAAAATCCATGAAAAAATTTGAGATGACACACATGCTTACTTGAATAAAAAAATATCGAATAATGGAGTTTGCACTTAAAAATTGTGAAATTTTGTCCAAACACTTTCCTGAATTCTTGAACTATATTAGAGCGAAACCAGAAACCATGTTGTATGGAAGATATTCCCAATTTTTTGACCATGTTAGAGCAAAACCGTGTTGTAGAAGTGCCACGTTTTACAAGGAATACCTGTATTTCCAAATTCTTGTCTACAGATGCAACAGTGTTAATACCCAATTCTGATTCCCATTCTTCAAAGTATTGCTCTTAAGTAAAAAGTGGAACACTGTGATTTGCTGACTCAACCTTTGTCTAATGGGAGAATGACATGCTTTTTTGAGTAGAAGAAAAACTTAGAAAACTTTTTTCGTGTTTTTTTCTTTCAAGATTTTTTTCTAAGTTTCAGATTTCCCCAAGTTCTGTTTCAAGACTTTTTTAGAACAGTTTAAGTGTCCTTTGTGCTTTTTAGTGTTAAACAATATATTTAGTAATTTTAATCATTTTTATCATAGAAAAGAATTATTGTTAACCTAACATGAAAGAGTCATCATTTACAGGGATTAAATCCAGAATTACATCCATCATCAACTTCTTGATAACCCTAGCTTAGTTTAGATATACCTGAAAGGGCCACCAAATTTAGAGCCTTTCCAGGTGAATGAAACTTATATCTCCAGAAATACCTTACCATCAAAGAGTAGAATTGCTCAGAAGACTGGAATGAAACACTGCTGAAATACAATGTGCAAACATCAGATGTATCATTGATTGAATTTTCATCTCAGGACATGTCTGACACTACTGATAAAACAGATTCAGACAAAAACCTTGACTAGTCCCTACACCGCAGCAGCCACTATATGATTCTCCTTGCTACTGAGTCATAGAGTCTGAATGAGTATCAATGTTTGAAGAATCTTCCAAATAGTATTGGACCTCTCTGTGGCAACTTTGCAGACCCAAACAAAAGTGATTTACAGTTGTACGTTGCTATCAATTACTGTTAAACCTGTCTCAGAGATCCATTGGTTATCAGTTGATTATTCCTTGCCAAAAAAAAAATACAGGACAACCTCAAGAGGTTAGGCCTGTTTAACTTCCTGAGGCATTCCCTTTTATAGCTGTCATCACATCACCATGTCGGTGATTCAAACTAAACAAGTTCTAAATCCAACATTGCATTTTCAGTGTGGATGAGAATGGGAAACTGTTGAATGTGTTCAGATACAGCATGGTTTGAGTTCAGATTCATTGACTATCCCTCCGAGCTTTTGGTATTAGAATAGTGTCAGAATATTTTATTCGTAATCTGATTCTTGGATGTGACTTTTTGAAGAGAACTGATGTTTTCATATATTATAGAGACCAACTCATCCATTTTAGTTATTAAATTACTTTCTTTGTGCATTAACTGTTTTGAGTGATACTTGAATTCTGGATTTTACAGCCATTATACTGGTTGCCTAAGAATTTCGGTGACTGACATTCAGTTAGTGAAATTAACAGTAATTTTATAATAGTAATTTTAATATGCTACATTAATTCTTATGAGATTGCTTGATGAGTATAAATAAACCATTTAATACAAACAAGTTTCTCTCTCATTGTTGATGCATCTAAATTTACTAACAAAATATCTAAGTAACATATATCAAGATTTATTGTATATCATTTCTTCACATTCATTTATCTACATGAAATATAAAATTACTACTAATACAATATAAAAAAAATATAAATGTACAACTACTTACTAATTTAAAGTTGATTTTAATCATTTGCTTTAATGCTTTGAACCCCCATTCTCCTTTCTCTCCACCTTCTAAATCTAAAACCTGTAAAATTTTAAATAATAATACATTTAAAAAAAGTATTTTTAATTTTATTACTATTATTAAGAAATTCATATGCAATTCAATAAATAAATGCAAATTAATCATTTTGACTCTTACCATTTTGTATACTTACAAATTCAAAATTCCAGAAAAATCACAGTGATATAAAAAAATTAATCTATATAATATATACAGGTAGGCCTCCTACAACATGGTAGATACGTTCCTTGAAAATACCGCGTTGTGGGAAATCATGTTACAGGAGACACCAAGTTAATACTGGGATTTGGTTCTAAAAAGAGGAAAACTTGGCGTTTGAATGGCATTTTTTGAATTTTTCAAACCAGCCATTGCTAGCCACAAATTAAACACTGGTTTCATCAGCTGACGACTGTCCCATTTGTTTTAAATTATCAAATATTTTTAAGGCTTTGTGTTTAAGTGCAGTTTTATTTAAAGGTAACCATTTCTTGTTCATATCTTCTACCCATAATATTAGCACTTGTTCCATTTTTTCCATTATAGGTGCTCTCGGACGAGCAACATTTTTTGCAAGAATAGATAATCCAGATGTGACCAAATTCCTAATCTTTTCTCCGATTGCTTAATCGACCGAATAGTCGACTCATTTAAATTAAAATGCCTACTAATATCAGCTATCCACTCTTGATTTTTAATTCAATCCAAAATTTCTTTGTTTGAAGAGTTATAAATTTCCTTTTTAACAACGATCCTTTCTTTTCATTTGGCATTGTTATGGCTAAAATTTTTTCAATCAGTTTTGTGGACAGTAAAAATCGCAAAAAATAACTTCCCTTCACTATGTTGTTAAAAATATACACCCAGTAGACGTTTATTATGTATTTTGGACAATTTTTGCAGTTCCCACTTATTGAAAGAGTATAAATGATCAAAAATTTAGTGAATGTTTACAGTAACTGATGCACATCTGTCTAGAAACTGGTCTTCCCCTGAAACTTTCAAGGGAATAACATGCCAATGTCGACAAACAGCTTTTTTCAAGGACATTTAGCTCTGTATGCTGAACTGCGGCTCGTATCACGTGATCCATTGTGATTTTTCTGTTATGTGAAAGATAATTCGTTTCTAAATACTGTAAACTGCGTTGTAAAAGTACCACATTGTAAGAAAATTTCCGCATTTTTCCAACCGCATTGGAGCGAAAACGTGTTTTAAAAGTACCGCATTGCAGGAAGCCTACGTGTATATCCAATAACTGTAAAAAATAATAAAAATAACAATCTATATTCAGTTCATAAAAGTGAACACTCCAATTCCTTTCACAAAAGAAACATTCCAAAATAACTATCAAAAATATAATCAAGTAGTTTTATTATAAATATATTTTCAAATATCAATTTATTTATTTATGGAATCTGATAATGCCTTCCAATTGAAGGTGCAAATTTACTTTATTATAGGTAAACCAGTAAATTTTAAAATTTTGAATTCAAATTTTTCATTTGAATTCAAAATTTTATTCACACACCAGTGATTTAGTTTAGTTGCTGACTTACCAATAAGTTAGCAACTAAACAGCAATTTTAGAAGACAAAAACATTAAATTAAACAAATAATTTTTTGCTAGTAAAACTTTGTTTGTGATTAAGGAGCTAAACAATCATTAGTATGCTAAACCCATTTGAATTCCCTTTGTTTTATTCTGAAAAACAACAGTTTTGTTGCATGATTAAACACTCACATTCAAATGTATTGTATTTTGTCAACTAAACTCACTGTTGCATTCTAGGTATTATGGATAAAAAAACAAATTTCCAAACTGTCCAGTAAAGGGCTATAATATATAATACTTTAAAAATTGAAAAAAACTGTAAAATAATCATTTAAAACATAAATGATGCTAACTACTTTTACTATAAATACATATTCCATGAAACTGGATTAAGTCCATTGACATTGGCAAACAAAGAAACAAATATTTTTGACAATTTAAAAATTGTCAAAAATATTTGTTTCTTCTTTATTTTTAGTAAGTATAATTTGTGCTGGATATCTCTGGTATTTTTACATTCATTGGACTACTTTTACTGTTTAAATAAAAATAATTGATGTACCTATGTCTTTAATTTATATAAAAATGGAAATGTATACAAAGAAATATTTAGCTTCAAAAAACTTATTACATGTCTGCCTATTTTTACCAAATTTGCATGTAAAAATATCAAATTACTGATACATTGTCAACTGATTACTATTAGACCAATTTACCAGTAATGCAATCTCTACTTTCCTAAAAAAAATTTCCATTTTTTTCTTCTCACAATAACATTCCTTCTCATTCCTATAATTAATATTGCTCTCTTCATATTATTATACCATGTTCTCATTCTTCACTTTTTCCTTACAAATATTACCATGGAGTTAAAACAGAAGACAATTTTTTTTTAATTCTTTCATTTTTCTTCTAGCTTTTAAGATCCTACAGGATATATTTTCAAGTACTGTATGCTGATAGAAGTATTTGAACATTAGGATAATCAAAATAATTTAAATCATAAATTTGTTTAATACATAAACCAACTTTAGTATCAATCTATTCCTTAAACTAATTTTTAAAAATATTTTTCAACATATATTCATATTTTCAACAGTTTAAAATAGTCAAAAATAATGAATTTCAGTTTATTTTTCTAAAGCAATAAAATAACATTTCTGTCATTTCATTTACATCAAATGACTCAATGAATTTTATTTGGCTGTATTAACTCTAATTAATAATCAGTTAAAAAGCAATTTGGCTAGAGGTAGCCAGTTAAGCTACCATTTCATAATATATTTAATAATTAGAAATATTGTTTAATTTAGAATAGTATAGGAAAGGTCAATCAGAGAGGAACTCAAACCACAACTCCTATTTGCCATGTATATCGTTGGGGCACACAACTCAAAAATTTCCAATTTAGAGTTTATTGTAGAAATGTATAGCAAACTCCCCATATTTTTATGTGGAAGAACGAACACTAATATTTATTTCCAAAATAGATTTGAAAATGTTAAAAATCCAAGATCATGACAAATACTTGCAGGAAACAAGAAACTTTTAAGTGGCTGTTCTGGAAGATCTATATTTTTGAGTTGTGTCACTATTCTTGTGCACCAATGATATATGTTGCTAGTTACACTATCCAGACTAGCTATTAACATTAGAAGTAAAGATTGGCACCTAACAGATTAAAAACAGTCCCTTGAAATTTCCCATCAAAAATACAGTAGACCCCCCTATAATGCTTAGATACGTTCCACGCTAATCGAATTTTACGTTGTAGGAATGATTAAATACATGAGCCAATCGCAGCCCGATAGGTGTGAACTTTACAGACTAAGGCAGTTCGAAAGGTTTTCTTCTATAAAATTAACCGATTCTAGACTAATTCCACTCAACATTTCCAAAACACGTATAATTTTTTGGGAATAATCTGTATAAACTATGCTATAAACAAAAAATTATAGGATTATCTTACCGAGTGTGCACCATTCGACTACGCCATTGTTCAAAGCTTGTTTTCATCGTGGAACAGCACACGAAACGACGGCCGCGATTTCTGATAAATAATTTTTCGCAGAAAAATAACTTGACCTTTGAAGACATCATTAATATAAATAATTTTTATGGCCGTTGAATAAGAAATGTTTCTTTCACAAGAAATGTATAAAATTAGTGCTGTATTAGACTTACGGTATCTAATTTACATACTGTACAGACGATAATAAACTCAACTTACTAGCCTAAAATCTCCATAGCGTGTTGCCAGGCGGCAGAAAGCATGTATATAATTATACTAAAGTTACAATAAATTAAGTTAATATATAATTATATATACAGTACCTAATTTATGTATAATTAATATATAATTATATGTACAGTACCTAATTTATATATAATACTAAACAGACGATAGCAAACTCAATTTAGCCGCTCCGTAGCGTGGCGCAGGGTCGGAGGAAAGTAGTTCGGCTACTCATCCACTATTGGTCCAGATTCTATCAATCTTCTCGCGAAATGAGTCGGCGACGACGTTTTAGGAGCTCCTTTATACGTATGTTGCTACAATTTTTTCGCTACGTTATAGGAATTTCCGTTATAGGAACGCACGTTATAGGGGGGTCAACTGTACTCTAAATCCCATTAAATTTTCATGGTCACTTCAATTTCCCAGTAAATTTAGTGGAAATCCATCAACTGGCAATATTGATTACAACCAGATAACAGGTCATACATAAATATAGGCAGGGAAAGTAGCCTAAAGAGAAAGGTCAACTCTGCTCTGCGTGGATCATGTTCCTGTGATGTTAAAAGAGGACAACAGAGAAGACAAGAATAATGTGTTCATATTGATCTTTAATGCTTTGTATTTTTACAATGTATTTTATATAAAAGTCATATATAGTGGTTATGTATAAAAGGCCCTAGTTAACCAGAACTATCTACCAGGAAATTTCCCACTCCACAAATGAAAAGATCACATATAGGAGATCTATTATTTTTTCAAGATTCAGAAATAATAAAGACCCAATAGAGAGGTGCTGCTTGCCAAGGATCTACACTTAGGGTATCGTAGGGTGTGTGTCCTTGCAAGTAAATTGAAACCATAGCTAGATGCCTGAACATAAAAAATTAAGCCAAACATGTAATAACTGTTCTTGAAGACATTTGGACTACAAATTTCTCCCACTGTTTTGCAAATTTTTGAAGGGTTTTGTCTTCTAATTTTGATGATTTTCTAAGTCTGCCAGAACAATGTTGATTTTTGACATATCCCTATAACTTAAATTTTCTAATAATGTTTTGAATGCCAGTTTACTTACACTTACAAGGAAACTGTCAGAGTGACTTTTAATAAATATTAATAAAATTTAGTTAATAACTACATTAAAAGTATGCAAACTTTATATTAAATTTGTAATATTCACTAAAAGTGTTAATCAGAATTAATAGCAATCAAATGGCATACTATTTTATATTTGTTTAACACAAATATGCAAATTTTTAGAAGTGAAGGGGGTTGCGAAGGAAGACGATGATATTACATTTACAGAGTAGGATAACGAATAAACTCAAATAAATGTTATGTGAAACATTAGATTGCGGCGGTTGGCAACACGGCTTTTGACCACTGTCCCCAACCTACATGATGTCAGATCGTGGCTAACTCCACTTTTTAGGTGGGCATGATTCTGTCCAATTGCTCACTTCACCGCATGCTCTGATCAATGTTTCCACAGTCAATATAATTGTAACTCTTGTATATAGTTCTGTAAAATAAACTCATGACAATGACCATTGGACTCCGTCGTCTGTCCTGGAATCATTCATTCAACACGACGACTACACTAAATCTACGAAGTGTCATCATCATGTCGAATGAATGACTTAAAAAATTTGCATATTTGTGTTAAACTAGTATAAAATAGTATGACATTTGATTGCTATTAATTCTGGTTAACACTTTTAGTGAATATTACATATAGAGTCTGTATACTTTTAACGTAATTATTAACTAAATTTTATTAATATTTATTAAAAGACACTGACAATTCCCTTGTTAGTAGCATTGCAATTCTTCTCTGAAACATGTTTTGTTTAGTGATGTGCTGGATTGTTAAAAATGTATATCCGCAGATACGGATACAGATATGGATCATTAGTGTCTAGATCCGCGGATACGGAAACAGATACGGATCTCAACTTTCGTACTCAGTCGGTGCCGATGCATGTGACCTTGGACCGATAGTTGACGATTTACATTAGTAACACGACGTGTTTCGACTTGCACTGCACGTGTTTTTGTTTATAGTTTAGTGTGACACAGAATAGTGTAGATTATGTTTGTATTTTTGGAGAGTGTTGAGTTAAATTAAAATAAAAACAATGTCAACAAAAAAGTTTAGTAGTGTAATATGAAAATATTTTACGATAGTAAATGAATTTTGCATGATAAAATTTTTGCAATGCGAATGTGCCAAATATGTGATTTTAAGAAATAAAAAGTGATTTGAATTGAAGTTATTAGTATTTTATTGCTACCTATCTTTAAAATTTCATATAAGTAATGAAATTCATTAAGATAAAAGATCCGTTAAAGATCCGCTAAAAAGTAACGGATACAGATATGATTACGGATATTTTTTTCCCCTCGGATATCCGCGGATATGGATATGGATATCCGGCACATCACTAGTTTTGTTTGAATAATGATATTATTCAAACAAAATTATATTATTGAAGTTTTAAATTGTTTTCCAGCTCCTTGTTATGACCCGTGATGCTGTTGTATATTTACAGTTTATGTGATTAAATGGTTAACTTCTGGTTACATTAGTGCCCCAAACATGTTAGAACATTTTAGATTTATTCTATTAATGATTATCAAGTTTTATTGTGAAATATTTTTGGATATACTTCGTATGGTCTAATACTTTTGTCGTGGAATTTTGTTGGTTTAAAATTTTTGTCTCGTACATGCAAATGATTTAATTTTTTTTCTAACGTTGAAACACATTAAAATTCTATTGTGTGAATTTTTTCTATTAAATACATATTGAAGTTTAAGAAAGAAAATACAGGAAATTTGTAAAATGTAACTGAAAATAGTTATATGCAATTAAAACTACAAAATCAATATTTTGAAATGTGGTCTAATGCTTTTGGCAGGGGTTGTAATAGAACAGAATCAGCAGATATTTTGCTATTTTTATTGTCTGAAATAAAAATGATTTTTATCTCATACAATTATAAACACAAAAGTAATTAAGAAAATATTTCATAAATATACTGTATAACTATTCTCCAAATATAAGCAGATTAGCAGATTACAACAAACTTTTAATTCAAATTTATAATCGGCAGACTAAAAGTGATGAGTCATAGATAAAACTCTGATTCTAATAGGTTGTGTGTCATAAATTCTAATCGGCTAATTGTGATGTTTAATATATATATATTTTTAATGATAAGAGCTAAATAACTTTCAAACTTTTCAGACAAATTTTTTAAAGAAATATATTAACTGTTCAAGTAATACAATACAATTAAGAAACTTTCAGCCAAGACTTTACCCCTGAATTTAAAAAAAAATCTCAAATCACTCATCAAAAATACAGTATCTATAATTTTTCAATAAATATACCTTATGTAATATCTCACTTTTACTATAACTACTCTAAAATGTAAAAAATGTTACTTTCATCATGAATAACTTTTCACCATTTATCTTTAATTTTTTGAGTAAATTATCTTTTAAATAAATACAAATGATCAATTTCCACCATCTTATATAATTTATATAGTAAAATGTATTCAAAAACTTAACTAATTATATTATTTCTATCATGATCATAGGTATAAAATAATTACTTTTTGGAAACTTGCAAGAGCACCTGTAGGATTCTCTTCCTTCAATGTCTTTGAATTATAATACTGGTTTTCCAAATCAACATCTGGTTCTGAGTTACTATCCTCAGAATATTCCTATAATCATAATTAAATTCATTAAATAACATTTCATAAGCATTTTATACAAAATACATTTTATTTATAATCAAAAATAAAAATACAAGAAAACTATAAATTAATAAAAAAAACATCCTCAAAACCTTTGTATAAAGTTTTTTTATTAGTGACTACTGTTTTCAATCTTAAACAGATTTTCAAAGTTTTGAGGACATTTTTTTATTACAATTAGACCCAGTTCATTTGTATTGATGTAGAATTATAAAACTATAAACCAAAATAAAATTCTAGTTTATAGTTTAATTAATTATGTAAAATTAATATAAATAGATTTTAATATAGGGTTGGCAACTAAGTGATTGCGGATTTTGTCAATAGGTGGCCTTAGCACATTTTTTTGCTTTGTCATCGTGTTCAAAGCATTTAACCTATATTGTTTTCTTGTTGTTTGGACTTCCACCTTTAATTTAGTAAAAAAATTGTATCGATTAGTTATTTAGTTTCATTTTTATCCCAATTTAAAAATGGAAGAACAAGACGTGCATTTCAGACATATTTTATTGTATTATTTCCGAAAAGGCAAGAACGCATCACAAGCACACAAGAAGTTATGTGCCGTATATGGGAATGAAGCCTTGAAAGAAAGGCAGTGTCAAAATTGGTTTGCCAAATTTCGTTCTGGTGATTTTTCACTGAAAAATGCTCAATGATCTGGCCGTCCAGTTGAAGTTGATGAGACCCATATCAAGGCCATTATCGATTCAGATCGTCATAGCACAATGCATGAGATTGCACAGAAGCTCAATGTATCATATACATGCATTCAAAAAAATTAAAACAGCTTGGCTACATCAAGAAACTGGATTTATGGGTCCTTCATCAGCTTAAGGAAATTCATTTGATGCAACATCAAATGAATTTCAAATTGACAAAACGACTGATTACTGCGACGAAAAGTGGATAGTTTATAGCAACGTTAATCGGAAAAGATCATGGGTGATGCGAGATGAACCAGCCCAGATGACACCAAAAGCTGAGATTCACCAAAAAAAGATTATGCTGTCAGTTTGGTGGGATTATAAAGGAATTCTGTACTTTGAACTTTTACCAAGAAACCAAACGATTAATTCAAATGTGTACATTCAACAACTCGCCAAACTAAACAATGCAGTTCAAGAAAAGTGGCCAGAATTGGCAAATCGTAAGTGTGTTGTTTTCCAGCATGATAATGCAAAGCCCCACACATCTTTGTTCACTCGCCAAAAATTATTGGAGTTAGGTTGGGATGTGTTGTCACATCCACCATATAGCCCTGACCTTGTGCCTTCAGATTACCATTTATTTCGTTCCATGCAGAACTCCTTAAATGGTAAAATTTTAATGATGCTGATGATGTAAAAACACATTTAATTCAGTTTTTTGCTGGCAAAAATCAGAAGTTTTATGAACATGGAATTATGACACTGCCTGAAAGGTGGGCAAGAGGTCATTGACAAAAATGGATACCTAATTGAATAAAGTTATATTTTTAAGCAAAAATTTTGAATTTTCCTTCTTATTTAAAATCCTCAATCACTTAGTTGCCAACCCTATATAATAAATAATATTCTACAAAACAGTACTGTGAAACTCCAATTTTACAGTACAAATTGTTACAATCAAACCTCAACACACAAATTTTTGATTATGAACTTTTCAGTTAACATAGACACAAATATATCATTCCACTATGTACAGTGCATCTGCTAAAATATCTAAAAGCACAATCAATTATGAAACAAAAATTTTTTAACAATGCAAAAGAAAAACTAGAAAAAAAACCCAAAAACTCTCTCCTGTAAATAGTTTTGCCATATTGTGCTTCTTCTGTGCCATTATGCTACCATAAAGTCTGTTTTGTTTAGTCCATCATCCAAAGCAATATCTTCCCATTACTATATTTAGCAAGTAATAAATAATTTGGAAAAATTTATCATGCTTAAAAAGAAAAAGTGATATATCAGTGGAATCCATAAGGTGACATGTAAGTTATTATTTTAGTTAAGAAACTTGACATTATTAAAAAATTTGATAATAGTCAAAGCAATACAAGCATCAGCAGGATGCTAAGTTTTGATGAATCTATAGTATAATTGATTCTGTCCAAATCTAATGTACATATGAAACAAGATATAGATGTTTAAAAAGGTGCTTAATAGATACAGTCAAACTTCCATATTATGAATGCTATATAGCAAATTTCTCTGTATAACAAATTTTTGCATTATACACTGCTCTTTCAGCCAGAAAAAAATTGCTACTAAATAACAAAGTTAATTTCTATATAATGAATATTTTTAATTTTTAAGGACTATTGATCATCAAAAGTCAATTACTCCATCTGGAGTGAGTTTGAATTTATGTTCAATTTCATTATGTTATTTTCAATTTTACTTTGTAAAACCATGGCCCAGATGTTAGAAGTACTGGTCATCATCTTTTAAAACAATCATGTAATCTGCCCCAATGTGGCTACCAGTTGTAAAGATAGGAGACACAGATTATCTGTCAACAAGATCATTTGTACCTAAACAATTTACAATTAACAAATGTTTTAGAGTTACAGTATTTACATATTAAAATAAAAAAATTTAATACTGTATCATACAGTATTTCTTAGTAATAATATATAACTTATAGTTAACGTGTTTTTACTGAAAAAATTACTATACTGTATAATTTTTGGACAACCTGGAATGCACTAGTCACTTTATAATGCAGTTTAGTATAATGAATTAATTTTGCACCAATTTTGTTTATTCTGCTTCCTCTGAAGACACATCACTGTCATAAAATCAGGGCAGCCTGTACAATGAATATTGATATCAGTAACATTTTTTATTGTGTACAGTACAATATTTAACTGAAAAAGCAGTCTTAATTGTGCAGGTAGCTAGATGAGTCATATATATATCAATTTTATAGTATTGAATGTTATGTAAAGTTAAAAGAAACTTTCCTAAATTTCTCTATCAGAGTTCTCAGAAACATTAAAATTGAAAAGTTGCATTTCACTTTCTATTTTAACTTCAGGTTTGAAAGTGAATGATTCTAGACTGTAGTACAAAAATGTCAAAGCAAAAGTGTTTAAGCATTACTAAAAAAATTAGTGTTGCAGGAAGTTGTTATAGACCAGGGGGTGACCAACTTATATATATAATATCTACTTTTTATCTTAAAAATATGTTGCAATCGACTTGTTGTCATAGTCATAGTCTAAGTGGTGAAGGGGAGGTATAAAATACATACTATGTTTAGATAGGCAAGAAAAGCCACAATTTAATTTAAAACAGGAAGAAAAAGTACTTACATTTTAAACAAGAAAAATTGAAACTCAACATTGTCACTTTCAGGATCACCACTTTACCCTTCCTCTCTCTACTGTGTCCTGACCTACTCTCTCTGTCCCTCTTCCTGCCTTTCTTTTTTTTGGTTTTACCACACTTTGTCTACATTTCTTATTCCCCTTTTACAACTATATGCAAATGAATTGCACATGGACCAACAAAACCACATCTGAGGGAGGATGCGGACGTCTGATATCACTACAGTTGTGTTTGCACGTTACGTTCATGCATTGCATTCGGTTACAAGTGTAACACATTAAATCAAGACATCGCGAGCGATCGACTAAAATTGGCTTTGCGATCGACTTGTTGGCCACCCGATATAGGCTCAAGAAAGACATTACAGCAAAGTTTGAAACTCCTGCGAGTAGTTTATCAACCATAAGAAAATTCACAAAATTTTTTAATTAGCTGATGATACAAAACCTATAGCAAAACATGCTAGAACCTGTGTTTACATCAATGTAAATGAAACAGTTTTAATGCTCTTAATAAGTGGGAAGCATATTACAAATAGAAAACATTTTTTTAATTGTTCTGTGAAACAAAAAATTACAATTTTTTATAAAAATGCAGTTAAACTAATTGTATTTTAACAATAAGTTTAATTAACTTACTTAAAATTAAAATTACATTTATATATTATATTATTACTGTATATTATGTTTATATTAATTTAATTTATGTAAAATAACAAAAACAAAAAAAAAATTAAGTTAAAATAATACTTTATTTACCAAAAAGTGTTATTTCTGTATAACAAAATTTCCATATAGAAAATTTTTTTTCAGGATTTAGCAACTTTATTACATAGAAGTTTGGCTGTATTTTCTAGAAAATATCATATCCATTTTTAAATTATTAAAGGCTGTCTAAGCAGCTGTTTTCAGATCCAACAAAAAATAAATAAAATATAATGTATTACAGTATTTGTAATTTGAATTAAAATACATTCAATTAATAATTAATTTTGTTGGTTGAGGTTTAAAAATTGTTTTTATTAAAAAGTCAAATACCAGTTTAAGTAACATAGATCAAAATAATTATTATGATTAATCCACCATATATAAAGCTTTAAAGCAGTTAAAAACATACAAAGCTAAGCTAAATCCAAACCAGTCCATAATTAAAATAAATGAAAAACTATTTACATATTAACACAAGTTGATTCACAATAAATATCTGAAAACCACACCAGAATAATGATACCACCATGCACAAAAACCAATAACCGGTGCAAAATAAGTTTAAACATCAAACAACATACATTTTCTTAACTCTTTCCGAGTTCTTCCACAGGTATTTTTAAATTTGATTTAGCAGGATCATTGAAATTCATTCCAGAATATGATATTTAAATATAGAATTGAACTGTAAGTTCAAAAAATTCAAACAAGGGATTTCTGCGCATGTGTATTCCTATGCTACCCTGGAATAAGATCGACAATTACATTCTGCTGTCAAATAAAACTTGACAAGCCATCAATAAACTTGTCTCCTCTCTAAAATTTATGCAAGTGCACATGGAATAAACTTTAAAAATCTCCACAGCCTCTAGCCACCTGAAGTGTTCTGCGTATAAAGCATTAAGTTAGCTCTGGAGAAGTCTGCTGTAATATCAGGATCTGTGGC